CCCAGTCTTCCACTACCTCCCAGTGGAGGATCTGGGATTTGGCCCCCCCTTCAGAGGGATCTCACAGCAACATACATAGTCTTTTCTTGCCTCAGAGTCCTGTAAAGGGCAGGGGAGGCAAGAAGGAATTTTGTGACACTGTTTATTATATTGAAACAAGATTAGCCCTCATTTAGATACCGTGGATGGTACTTGTGACTACAGTGCACTGTTATTCTTGTTCCTTCAGACTTTATGTATGTCTGCCATATTGCTTGGAGCAGTGGCCAGCAGGTAACACTATTTAACAGAGAGCAGTGAACTTCACCTAGTGCTAACCTACAAAGGAGCTCCAATTTAAACATCTCACGTATTTCTCCAAATTACATTAGTATATGATGATTCTATATTATTAAGGGATGTCAAGATACAGAGTCCTTGGCACATAACTGCATTATAAGAATTCTCACATTATGCAGAAATTTTTATAAATATCTATGTCTTCCAGCAGACTGTAAGTATGAGGAGGGTATTTGAAAAGTTCATGGAAATACAAATCATGCAAAAAACTATGCATGGATTTCAAAAATTTTGTACCAATATAGACTTGTACTTTAATTCCATTTTCCACACACTTTGTGAAGTTCCCTTATGTTTTAAATGTTAAGACCATCTTTGTTAAGAAAAAAGTACAATGACTGATGTACCACTCAATATTTGATGAATAAGTGACAATGGTATACACATGTCCAGAGACAATGTGGCTAAAAGCCCAGTTCTCAGGTTAGACACCTGGATTCTAACTCCAGCTCCATCCTTACTAGCTGTATAATCTGGGGTCAATTAAACTCTTCAGTGCTTGATTCCTCATATGTTACATGTGGAAATAAAAATATTATATACATCACAGAATTCCTATCTTGTGCCAGACACAAAATAGTTACCCAATAAAGGTTATTACTGTTTTGGGTTTGTTTGTTTTTTTTAATTTTTTACCCTAAGGCACATGCACTTGCCAGAGAGAGAGAGAAAGAAACAATGAGAGGGAAAGTGAGAAATCACCTCCTGGGAGTGATGGCCATGTCACAATCCCTTCTCCTCCATCCTCCTCTAGGAATTTTGGACACATGTGCACACACGCCCAGCATGATTTTCAAGCCACCAGTCTGGGACTTGAACTGCAGTAGGCCATGTGGGAGTCCAGCACCTTAACCACCACTCCACCGGCTGGCCCTAGTACTGTTGTTATTGAAATTCAGAGTATGGGATCACTCTAACTTCTAAAAGACTCTAAACATTTATATGGTTTAATCCCCAACTCTAGTGATAAAGACTTCATTTCATCAACTGAGGTGTGATCCAGTGGCCTTCTAGACATGAGCGTCCCAGGCACAGGTGGCACTGAGGACCAGCTGGGAGTCTTAAAGAGCCCCACAGTGATTTGAATATAACGTATTTGGACCTAGTTCCTAATGTTTGAAGGTGTGGAACCCTGGACTGAAATCTCAAAGGAAGCTATAGAATCCCCTTCCCTTGAGATTCTTGAAAACTCGGATCATTAACTGGCTCTTTAAGATGGGCAGGGACCAGGAAAGCATCTCATATAGTTTACACAGGTCAGTCAAGTTTGTGTTAAACTGCTGTTGACCTTGTTCCAGAGAAGCACTATGACCTGGAGACATAATGGAAGAAAGTATGGGAAGCAGATTGCACCGCTTAGTAAGACTGTAATGAAAACATCTTAATATGCTGTTAATCCTCATTCCAAATGACTTTAAATCTCATTAAGAAACCGTTTCTGAAGGACCTGAATGAATGATGCCCTGGCATGTGCACTTCATGACAGCAGGCAGCCGTCGAGGCCATGTGTAGGGGCCCCCAGCTGAGCACCTCACATCCTATTGCTCACGGATCATAATATGCAGTTTCCAGACTGTAATGGCAAAGAGAAGAGGAAAAAATCACTCCTGTTCCACTCTTGGGGCAAAAGTGTCAAAGATGCTCATGTGAATGGAGACCCAAATTACACACATATTATTCTTTTTAAGCACAAGAGTGTTTTGCATATTCCCTCTTAGGTAGACACTATTCCAAATTTGGTGCAGATTTTCTCCAAATGCAGTTTTTCTCCTCTTTTTGGTTGCTCAAAGGAAGACACCAAAAAGAAAGAAGTTTCCGAAGGGGGAAAGAAAAGCTAGCAGAGGCTTTGATCCGAGGCAACGTGAAGCTTGAGTAAGGACTGAAAGGGGGACATGTGGAGTGACTGAGGACTCAAGGCTCATTCACAGTTTTATAACCATATAAGGGGATTAGACGAAGGCTGGGATGGTGATATGTGAGAAAGACATTTAAACAGAGTTTAATGGTTTGTTCTCTTTCTAATGATTGAACATTAAGTTTAAACATTTTCATATAAATATTATATGTATATAGCAGAATTGCAAATTTACACACCATACTACTCAGTTTTTCAAAGACAGTGTGGCTGAGCTATTGTCCCTCCACACTTAGACCTTATTGAGGAGCAGAGGGAAAAACAAACATGCCAATTAATAGCATCTCAGTTTCCACCCTTAGAAACAACATCTTTGGTAGTTTCTTTTTAAAAAAGAGAATTCTGTTCATCCTTTCTTCCAAATGGCTTGTGGTGATAGAAAGGAGGCCCTATGACTTACAGTGTGCCTGTGTCTCGTGGGGGAATGGCCTGGTCCACACCTGTCTATCATCTTCTAGGCACTACAGGTCCCACCTAGACTTTTGGGACATTATGTAACTATCCCTGCCAAGTCCCCACACACCAGGCTGCAGGGAGCTAGGGACCCTGTCTCAGATCACAGATCTGGTCATCCCCAAGACCAGACTGTTATGGCTCCCAGGACACATTGGATAAGCAGCCAAGTCAAAGTCAGCTTCTTCTTAGTCTTGCAGCCTCTCCCAGGCTGTGGAAGAGGAAAAGGACCACTAGACCCAATATTTCCCATTTCTAACAGGATATTTCTATTATAAACTGCTCTATTCCCCAAGCTTTGACCCTCTGAAATGGGTGGCGGGGGTGGGGGGGACTTCCCTCTCATAACCATATTTGCTTTGTTTTCCCACAACCAGTTTTAAACATGAAACCTGCAAAATGCCCCTGGCCTCCAGCAGCACTGGGCCTCCAGCACCACACAGCCAAAGTTGAAACACATGAAAACCACGAGTGTCCCAGTTCCTCGGGCCCTTACTGGATCCAACTTCCCTGATGAGTGAGCAGCAAGAAGCATTTTAACCAAACATACACAGATAACAGACGCATTCTGACTCTGTCCGAGTGAAAACTTCTAGTCGTGAGTCAGCAAAACACCATGAACCTCCACACTTTTAGTGCATAAAAAGTCCGTACTTAGCCTCCTCAGAAACTTTGCTCAGCAGTGAACGAATTTGCCTGGGAAGCAACTAAACCCATTTCTTGCTTTGAGAAGCACTAGAGTAGCCACTGTTTTCCCACCAATAATCCCAGCAGGATAGTGCAGGGAGGTGACGTCTTTGCCTTCCTTTTTGAACTTCACTCTGCTCCTCTCAAGAGCGTTCCCTATGTCACTGTTCTTAGGGTCACGAAGTCTCATGGCCTTGCACAAGTAGCAGTTTTCTCCCTTTACAGGAAGAGAAACTGGCTTAGCAATAAGGACGCATATTGAGAAATATTTTTAAATTACCATTCCCATTATAGATGATGGGGGGGGGTCTTAAAAAGTTTGTGGAAATGCATATTATGGAAAAGCTATGCATGAATTTCAAAATGTTGGCATCAAAATAAACTTCCGTTAAAATTCCAGTTTTTTTTCACAAAATTTTCAAAGTCCCCTCAGATGTACATCAGGAATTTAAAACTTTGTAGGCAAAGAAATTCAAGATTTTACTTACTAGTTGAGACACTTATAAACAACTTAGTATATAACGGGTACTTTTCTAAGCTCTTGACTCACTTAATTCTTGCAATGTCCCTGTAAGGTAGGTACTATTGTATCATCATCCTTGTCTTATAGATGAGAAATCTGAAACACAAGACAGTTGGGAGTCTTGTCCATGTTTACCAGGTGAACTGAGGATAGCCAGGATTCAAATCTAGACCGTTTGGATCCTAGGAAACTCACATACTACTGCTATAGTACCGCCACTGGGTGTCAGCATGCCAAACTGAAGGAGCAGCAGTCCTTTAAGAAAGAAAGGGAACAGCATTTACTGAGCGCCTTCTCGGTGCAAAACACTTATGTGTGCATTTTCTACTTTAATCTAAGAGGCTAAAAAAAACTCTTTAAGAAACAGAATATGCAGCATTTAGTGACATGACTGATTTGCATCAAAAGAGCTTTTGTCCATATTTTTTAAATTGAAAAAAAAAATAGCATTGCAGTGGACTGGGAAGTTAAGATGATCAGTCCCTAGACTCTTCATTAACAAAAGGCTCTTTCTCCCTATTCACACCTGATCACACAATGAAACCATTATTAGAAAGACTTTAGAGAAGAGACTATCAATGTACTTTCTCCCTTCGCAAAAATCAGCCAGAGACAAGCAATTGCTATAAAATTATTTGGGTTTAATCGCTATCAACATCAGAACCATAGTACATTAAAGTATAAACCTGTATGTATAATTACACACACCAAAAAATGTTCTTTGTGAAGAGCAATTTCTAGCAAATCTGCCAAACAGCAAGAGTCATTCCTATTTTGGGTTTGAAAGGAGAAATGGAAATTTCCAAGATATCCCGCCCCCCACCCCCACCCCTGGCTCCAGTGGCCCTCCGAACATCAATTTGCAAAGGCCCGAGGTAGGAAGGGTGGTATTAACAATATCAGGCACTCAGTCCTCCCCTCATTGGAAGGGATGAATCTTGGGGAAACGTTTTCCATCATTTATTATACTGATGTTCCATCCATCTGCATCATTAGGTTCGGTAGTTACCATGACAATATGATGCCTACAGCAATCTAACTTGATAGCCAGATGCCAGAATGTGAAAAAATAGGACCAGCTCAGAAAGTGAGAGAAATATAATTAATCTGAACCACATAGAAAATGTGCACAAAACCAGGACCAAGAGGAAAACTGCTGAAATGTCACTAATGAGGGAAGTATGAGGGGAGCAATAATACAAGTTTCAATATAAAAATGTTGCTGAATTGAGCCACGCATTGGTCTATAACTAAGATGGAGAAAGGAATCAAAGTTAGTCTAGAATACTGTTCTGAGTCCCTGCCTCTGCTCCACCCCCATAATTTCCAGGAGTGTCATCTCTGATTCTAGCTGTGGGATTGCCAGGGCTCTATGTCCTGAGGCTCTCATGACACCATCTTAAGTATGGCTGCCATGGCACTCTGCTCACTTCAAGTCTACTATTACTCCCAGGTTTCCCATCTGATGAACGAATTCTCGTCATTCTGGAGCTAATCCTAAGAGACTGGACTGAGCTGTGTCTTGGGGAGAGTCTGTCCCTTTGCTTTCCCTGTGCCAAGTGAGGCAATAGACTAGACCAAACCTCTTAAAGGCCCACATATGGCAGAAAGGTTGAAGGTGGAGAAAAGGAGAGCAATATGAAAGTTGCACTCTCAGGAGACGAGCCCAGGACAGGTGGACATTCTCAGCAGGGCTGGGTTGGGTAGCGGCGCTGAGCTAGGCGATTTGGCCGATTCAGGCTAGTAGCCATGGGGAGCTGGAAAAGAAAAACATACATTACCGTAGAGTAAAGACCAAGAAAGCCTCTGCCCAGGACCAACTGGCTGAGTGGCACTAGAGCACTATGAGTATCTGTCTAGAACACCTCATCCACAGATGGCATTCCAGGGCTATGTTCTAAACACCCACTTTCACCAATACCCTTGCCTCCTAAGTACAGTGAAAATAAACTTGATCCTACAAAGAAGGGAAGCCAAACAATGCATCGGAAGGCTAAGTCCACCCCAAGTCACTAAGGAGCAAAGAGCTCTCAAAGTCTACAGTGATCCCCTCACCCCCAGGACAATGACAAAGTGCACCCGTAATACAGTTATAGTGCACTCACACCACTGTCACCAACCCCAGCTGCGTCTCTCACACCTCAAGAACTACTGAAGGTGGGACCAGCAGTTAGCATAATGACTATGTTGCTGGACTCCCATGTAGTCAACCATGGTTCACATCCTGGACCCGGTGGCTTAAAACTCACACCAGGCACGTGTGTGTGTGTGTGCCCAAGATCCCAAGAGGAGAATGGAGGAGAAGGGATTACAGCATGGCCATCCCCCCTAGAGGGGGAGGGGGGTGATTTCTCGCTTTCTGTCTCTCTGTCTCTCTATATCTGTCTGGTGAGTGCACATGCCCTTTGGCAAAAACCTCTCAAAAAAAAAAAAACTATTGAAGGTCAAGAGCAATATTAATAATAGCTATATTTAGTGAGCATTTTCTAGGGGCCCAGCCCCTTCAGGTGGGTGCTAACCCCATTTTACAGATACAGAAACTGAGATAGAGGTTAAAGAATGACTCAAAAACTCAAAACTAGTAGATGAAAGATTGGGATTATAAACCGAAAACTCCTTAATCTAAAACCTATGTTTCTAACCACTCCCCCTGAGGGCTGCCTTACCTGAGGGACCTGAGATGGATTGTAAAGAGGAACAGCCCCTTTCATGGAAGGTGGAGGAAGCAGACCACCAGGGTTGGAGTAGAGCTCAGGGGAAACACTCTGTGAAGAAAAATAATAGAAATCCTATTAGTGGGGGCTTTCCTGAGCCTTCTGTTTGGTCAAGAGAAGCAGGTAGGCAGGGTTTCTTCATTAAACCGGGAAGACTCAAGCCAGCAGGTGGTATGGTAGTTAGCCAAGTACAAGATTCAAGTACTAGACTCAGCGGATCAAAAATTCTGTCAGGCACATATGCATGCATGCCCAAAATCCATAGAGGGGAATGGAAGAGAAGGCATTATGACATGGCCATCCCCCTTGGGGGGGGGGTGATTTCTCACTCTCCCTCTTCTCTCTGTTTCTGTCTCTCTCCAGCAAGTGCATGTGCCCTATAGCAATAAAATAAGATTAAATAAATTAAAAAAAAAAAAAAACAGGGGAACCAGCAGTTAGCATAATGGCTATGTCGCCGGAGTCCCAAGTAGTCGACCGCAGTTCGCATCCCGGACCCAGTGGCTTAAAACTCACGCCGGGCATGTGTGTGTGCATGCCCAAGATCCCGAGAGGAGAATGGAGGAGAAGTGATTGCAGCGTGACCATCCCCTCTGGGGGGTGATTTCTCGCTTTTCTGGGGGGTGCACATGCCCAATAGCAAAAAAATCTCTAAAAAAAAAAAAAAAAAACAGGAAGCCTCAAGCAAACAAACATGACTCAAATGGGCAGAACCAAGGCTTGGGTCTGGCATTTCAGTGCAGAGGCTCAGGTGCTATCGCACTTGAAACAAGGAAAAAAACATAAATTGATACCATCATAAAAAAGTAGTATCACATTCTTCAAGAGGTTTAAAATACTACAAGAGTGCTCTAACCAGCCCTCAAGAAATAAAAACATTTTCTTAGCAACAGGCATGAAATCTACACCGACGTGGACACGTCACGGAGAATGTATTAGCCCGAGCCGAGGATGCGGGTAAACTTCAGGGCCTGCAGACACAGGGAAAAAGGCTGTTCTCCAGAATTCACCCACAGAAGCTGTGATGGCCCGAATCGCATTCCCCCTAAAATTTAAATTGAAGCCCCAGTGCATCCAGAATGTGACTGTATGTGGAAATAGGGTCTTTAAAAGGGTAATCGAGGGAAACAGATCACGTAGGTACGTAATCCACTGTGACTGGTGCTCTTCCAGAAGAAAGAAATTTGAACCCAGACACACCATGTGAAGACGCAGAGACAGGACGGACACGTGTAAGCTGAAGAGACAGGCCTCTGAAGAAACCTCGCCTGCCCCATCTTGATCTTGGACTTCTAGTCTCCAAGTTGGGAGAAAATGTGTCCTGTTAGTCAAGCGCTCCCCTCGGCGGTGCTTTGCTATGGCCATTCACGCACGCTGAGAGCACCCTCTGTGTTCCTGCAGGTCAGCCCCACCAGAAGCTCTGTCCTCACTCAGGCACCTGCTCTGTCCCAGTCTCTGACCTATGGGCTGCTCACCTCAGGCCTGGTCAAGCCTCCAATCCCAGCGCCCTCAGTGGTCCCTCCACTGGATGCGGGTCCTGGAGCTTCACCTAGAGAGCCATGAGTCAGAGCTGTCTCCTTTGCTCAGGACTGGGAGGTCCCCACTCCTAGGAGGCACCCCCCAGCCTGGGAGCACCTGAGGACCACAGACGGTCCAGAGGTTGAGAAGGTGGTACCTGTGCCCCCGGAGATGGTGCTAGCACCCGGCAGAGGTGACTCCAGGAGAGGTATCGGTGACAGGCCACGGCTAGCCTCGAGGGAAGATGTTCCCGGTGTCTCCTGCTTTGTGAGAAAGGCAGCAGCACTGGGGACACTGGTGGTTAACAACTTCACGCCAACCTCGTTCTGACACCGCACTCACTGCAGAGGACCCCACTCTCCATCTGCTGCTGGGTATTCGCCCCAAAACACCATGTCCCTCAGTCCTCTGACTGGCTCTCTATTGCCAACCCTCTAATGGAAAAATTCATCCTAACTCTTCATAATCGGTCTTTGCCCTTGTGAGACCCGTGTTTACAGCCCACAATCTCCCATCCCCAAACCTCTGCTCCACTCAGTCTGGGTTAGAGGCACACACAGCTGTGGGTGCTCCACAGCACTGAGGATACGTCTTCTGGAAGGCTTCTCTCCCCTCCCCAGAGTTACCTCAGCTTCGGGACCATCGGACGAGTCCTCATCTCCAGATGTGTGGTTAGAGGGCTTCGATCGGAACCAGCTGAACCACCCAAAGCCAGAGCTCTATAAGGAGAAGAGAGGTTCTGAGGGCCTGCAGCTTGCTTCTCCTGCTGACTGTGAGCTTTGCCTCTGCCTTCCAGCCCAGGTCCCCACTGAGGAAGGGAGAGGAAAAATACCTTTGTATTCCCTTTCCCATCGCCCAGCTTCTCTCCATGTGCAGCATCCCGGGGAGATTTCTGATCGGCCTCATCAGAGGATTCCTCCTCATCCTCCTTGCCTGAAATGGTGGAGCTCTCAGAAGGATTCCGCACTCTGGGAACCAGTGGGGCCTGGAATTCAAATAAGAACCAATACCTGGACAGTGCGTATCTACATGAATACCCCCCACCTGACCTGCTCCATAAATAGGTGGGATACTCTTACCAGGTTATACCTTACTGATGAGGGAGGATGGCTTCGCCATGAAAAATGAGCCCAGCCCGGGACCAGCAGTTAGCGTAATGGCTATGTCGCTGGACTCCCATGTAGTCGACTGTGTTTTGCGTCCTGAACCCGGTGGCTTAAAACTCATGCCGGGCGCATGCGCGTGCGTGCCCAAGATCCCGAGAGGAGAATGGAGGAGAAGGGATTGCCACCACCATCCCCGGGGGGTGATTTCTTGCTTTCTGTCTCTCTGTCTCTGTCTGTCTGGCAAGTGCACGCGCCCTATAGCAAAAACCTCTCAATAAAAAAGAAAAAAAGAGCCCAGCCCAGCCCCGATCTTATGGAGTTTTTCCCACTGTGCTACCTCCCCGGAAACATCAACTTTCCAGAATCATGCCCAGACCTGGAGCAGGGGGTATGGCATGTTACTGCTGGAGGAAGAGAGAGCCAGGAAACATCCACCTAAACACTCAAAGCCTCGAAAACAGAGATCGTAACCACCACAGAGCCCAGCTCACCTCAGAGCTCTTTTCCTAACAGCCTTGCTCAAGATCAGCTGTGAACATACCCACCAGAGGGAAATACACCTATGCCCCTTTATAACTTTTTTTATTGTGGTAAAATATGCTTAGCATAAAGTTTATCCTTTTTATTATGTTATCATTATTGCCAGAGGGTATGTGCTCTCACTGAGAGAGAGGGAGAAAGCACCCCCCAGTGGGCATGGTCACACTGTAATCCCTTCTCCTCCATTTCTCTGTCCTGTCAGGATTTGGGGCATGCACTTATATGTGCTTGGTGTTCATTTGTTTTTCAAGCCACCAGATTCAAGATATAAACCATAGTAGGACATGTGGGGTCCAGCTTCCTTAACCACTAGGTCATGGGACTGGCTCAAGTTTATTATTTCAATCATATTTTTATGATAGTACAATACATGAGAGAGAGAGAGAGAGAATATGAAAGGATGGAGAGAATGGAGAGAGGGAATGAAGGAAGACACACCTTTGACAAGGTCTCAATCCCCTTTCATTGGCCCTCAAACTCCTCGGGATTTTGGGAACCCACACATGCACCCATTGTGTTTTCTGGTGGGCCTCGGAATCCAAACCCACAGTCAACCATGTGGCCTCCAGCACTGTAATCCAGTATGCTACAGACGGCACCACTTTAGATAGACAATTCAATAGCACTGAGTATATCCACAATGTTGTACAACCATGACCACTAGCTAGCTCCAGAGCTGTCCCACCAGAGCAAGAAACTCTGTACCCATTGGGCACTCACTCCCCATGCCCTCTCCCTCTGGCCCCTGGCCACCTCTGTTCTATGTTCTGTCCCTACGAGTTATCCTATTGTATTTTGTGCAAGTGGAATCATACAACATATTGCTCTTTTGTGCTATATTTACATCTTATACTCTCAATAAAGCATAATTGGTACAAACTTTGAAAAAAAGCTTTTGGCAAAATATCAAAAAAAATTGTTTTTATTCTAATGAATATAGTATTTACTATGTGCCAGGCACCATTCTAAGAGTTTTATATATAGTGATTCGCTTCAGCCTTGTCAACAGTTCTGGGAGATAAGAAAAGAACTTTCGCCATCATCCTGCTCTGCATACAAGGTGAAGCAAGTTGTCTAATGTCACACAGCTGATAAACCCCAAAGCAAGGGTTCAGACCCAGGCAATTCTAGCTATCCTTCTAGAATTTTCTCCTAATTAAATAATTCTAGACATAGACAAGAGCTTACATAGGGGTCCTTGCAAAGTTCATGGACAATGCTTATTATGTACAAGCTTAGTATGGATTTAGAAATCATTTTCGTACCAAAATAAACTCATACTTTTAATTCCATTTTTCCAAGAACCTTTTGAAGTCCCTTCATATGCCAGGATGCCCATCACTGTACATTATATATAAAGGGAAGGCAGGGAGGGAGAAGTAACAAAAAAGAAAAAGAAAGGGAGGTGACACTCTAGAATGTTTAACATGGAAATGACTAAAATGCAGGCTCCTTACTGCAGTTTCTAGGGCCCTGGGTGACCCTGCCTCTGTTGCTTCTTGGGCTGTTCCTGAGTATCTCTCCTGCTGCTTCCTGCTTTTTCAGACACAGTGATCACCTTGCTCTGACTTCATTGCACCTCTGGGCCTTTGCACAGGCCGCCCCCTGCCTTGAACAGGTGTTCCCTGTCTACCTGGCTTGTTTCCACGCTCAATCTGACCTCCACTCAAAGGCCTCCTCAGAGATGTCTTCCTTGGCCACCCTCTAAAGTAAAATCTGCATGCACACAGTAGTTTCTTTTTAGTCCCCTCCACTAGACTTGAGATCCATGAGGGTAGGCTTTATCTCACTCGCTGATGTTCCCCCAGCCCCTGGTATGGAGCCTGGTATGTAGTATGATAGTACTTCCGCATTTTGTCATGCCACTGTTAAAATCGCATTATGAAGGTCATAGAAAATGACAAAGGAGGGCCCAGCAGGAGCAGAGCAGTAATGCACTGGATCCACACAGAAAGGCTCTAGGTTCACACCTTGGGGCCGCCCTGAGCACACTGGGAGTGCGTGCACGTGCCCATGACCAGCCAGCTGAGACTAAGACCAGACCCTGCTGGGAGTATCTCTTTGTCTCTCTTTCTCATGGAAGAAATAAACATTTTTTAAATGGCCTAGAAAAATATCATATAGTGTTAAATAAGTAATGGAAAATAAATCATATGTTGTTACCATTTAGAACCATGTGTGTATGTATGTGTGTACATAATACATGTACACAGCTATAGAAAAAATATTGGAAGGAAATAATCAAAGTGTTCAACTGTGGGTTTGATGTTTTCTTTCGTGTGTGTTTGGGTTTTTTGGTTTTTGTTTTTGTTTTTTGCTATGGGGCACATGTTCACCAGACAAGGAGTGTGAGAGGGAGAGAGAGAAAGTGAGAAATCACGTCCCAGGGAGAAAGGCCACACCACAATCCATTCTCTGCCATCCTTCTCTTGGGATTTTTGGCATGCATGCGCACGCGCACACATACACACACACACACACACACACACGTAGTGATTTTCAAGTCACTGGGTCTAGGACTTAAACTTCAAAGTCAACCATATGGGATCCACCATACCACCAGTTGGCCCTGATTTTTTTTTCTTTTTAACTTTGCTATAAGGCATATGTACTTACCAGAAATAGAGAAGCAGGGCAGTGATAAACCAACCCTGGGGAGTATGCCCACACCACAATCCTATCTTTTTCCTCCTGAGATTGTGGGCATGCATGCACATGGCATGGTTTTCAAGCCACCAGGTCCAGAACTTGAACCATACAGCTGGCCATGTGGGATACAGCTGACTTAACCACCATGCCACTGGCTGGACCTATTTGATTCTTTTTTTAAAAAATTATTTAACTTTATTATTTGTTATTATTTTTTAATTTGGCCAGAGAAAGACAGAAAGAGGGGAAAAATTAGAAAGCAAACTGCCAGATCAAAGACTTGAACTATGGTCAACCATGTGGGAGCCTAACACCCCAACCACCATGCCACCTGCTGACCCCACCCTGCTTGATTCTTCATGTTTCTTCTTCTTCTTTAAAGTTTTCTATAACTTTTTATTTTCTGTTTAGAAAAAAAAGTATGAAAGCTTTTGAAAACCTGCAACACCATTACTAGTAGAAACTTATACATGGCTCTTCAACCATGCAAGGCTGAAGAGCATCTGAAGATTAAGGCCAGCACTGCTATGGTCGAGGGAGGTGGCATATTGGCCAACAGTTAGACTTATTAGTGACCCAGAGCCACCTCCAAGACCTCACAGCCTTGTTGGAGAGAGAAGACAGAAGCAGGTGCTCTCACAGCTACCATAGCTCTTTTTATGAAGTCAAGCAAGGAAAAAGTTAAAATCAGGAAATTAGCGTCAAGAGTCCTCCACAATGGAGCCAGGCATGGTGGCTGCTTGTAGCAGCAAGAAGAGGCAATGGGAGAAAGCAGAGATCTCAGGGGCAAGACCCAACCAGACTGGGGAACCACTGCCCTGGGACACAGGCGTGAGCTTGAGCGTGAGCAAGAACACAACTTCCCTGGCTCCCAGGAACGTGGTATGGAAAAACACTGGAGGACAAGCACATGGTGGGAGGGAGGGCTGGTGCACACGGGGGAGAAGCAGGTGGCTAAGGAAGCAGGCCAGCAGTACCACCAGGCAGGTGGCGACAGTGGGCACCAGCACCAGCTCTGCTCTGTCCTCTCACCTGTGGTTTGGAAGTGACCCTTTGATCATCAGCATGCTGGGAGGTGTCTTGAGACACTGTGTTCTCTCCTGTAGCACAAAACAAAGACAAAAATAGTCATTTGAAGTTGTGCTCTTTCCACCTATTCTGAACAAGAGTAATGGGTGGTGTAGTCAGCTCCTAATCACAAAGCAGTTGAGCTCAGCATCCTTAACTCCAAGCAGAGCATGGCAACTGCAAAGTTGGCTTAGGCAGTTCCTCCCAAGGGTACACTGGTCATCCAACCTCAGCCCCTGAACACCTAGGAACCTTGGAAATCAGAGCAACATCAAGCTAGGTATCACCATCCTCTACTATCCACCCTCTGGTCAAGTCTCCACCTCAGACAGGACCTCATCTTAGAAGGTCTAAGGTCCAGTCCTTCTAAGTAGTTTCTAGCACGTGCCTGGCATCACTCAGTATTGCTCACCCACATTCAGCCCCTGTGATCCCAGGTCCAATGGGCTTATAGGACCAGAGCAGGAATACAGGCTTCTGCCAGAGTCCCTGACAGTAAGTTCCTGAATGCAGGATGACCTCCGAAAGAGGACGTGGGCTACACCGTGGTGCATGGGAGGTGCAGGGAACATTGTCCTCACTCTTCCACCTGCAGTTTCTCCCCAGGCACTCTGCAACCCAGTCTTACTATGCCTGGCCCAGTGGAGGGGGAGCCTCGGCTAGAAGAGAGCATTCTCCTCTGAAGTAGGCAAAGCACCAGGCAGCAGCTGACAGCCAGCAGGCCCTCAGCACTGTGCACACACCCCTTCGTTCTTCACCAGCTCCAGCCCCCTTCTGCCAGCTGGTCCCTGAAGCTCTCTTCCCTACTTCCTCTCTCCAGCTCTGCATGCACGGGTCCAGTCTGGTTGGCAGGTCTTACCAGAAGCCATGTGTGTCTGCGGCATCCCCTCCCAGGTCCTTCCTCCAGGAGCTCCTGTCACTGCCATGCTGCCGTCGGTTGTCTCTGTCACGTAGGTCTCAGGAACAGGGTAAAGAGGCACAGGTGTCCCCAGCTGCCCTGCACTCCCTGCCGCTGTGTAGGAGCCCATCTGGAGGGGAGAGGGCTGCTGTGGGCTGGGGTGGATGGGGCCAGTCTGCTCTGGCGCTGGCCACGGGGCTGAGAGGTACCCAGGGCCTTCTGAGTAGCCGTGATATCCCACAAGGTCCGGGTGGGAAGCATCGTCTAAGGGACACAGGGCACAGAGGAGGAAGTGAGACCCAGAATGTGGCATGCACAGACTAGTGACACCAGAAACATCCTGCTCCTGTCCTCTTTGGAAAGTAGCCACCAGGAGAGGCTGCTTGAAGTGACTTTGATTAATGTGATGACTATACATGAGCCACTGCAGCGCCTCTCACTGCTACGTACGAATTATGTCCCCTCGTGCCTAGTGTGATCTCTGAGCCATTAATCTGTGGGTTGGAGGACAGAAAAAGACATCCCTCCTAGAGCCACACCTTTTAATTTTGGGATACATTCTTTCTCCTTCAAAATGGTCCTAGTGAACTTGGGTATTTGGAACTTAGAAAGTTTTTGAAACCCCAATCAGAGTCCAGAAGAGATGGCTCTGCATTTAAGCAATCAGTGCATTTGCCCTGGAAGCGACCTTGCTGATGAGCTGAACTGCAGGGTGGAAGTGTAACAAGACTGGCCCAAGGTCACAGCCCTGATGTGGAAGGCTGAGCTCCTGACCCATTAGGCAACAGGAGACAGGACTGCAAGGAAGAGACCATCCAGACACCTGGCCTGGCTCTTCTCCACCCCTGCACCTGTATGGACCCTGCTACACAGCAGCAAAGCAGGGAACCAAGACCAGAGCCTGCCGTGCCTTCCCTTCCCTCATCCTCGAAGGAGGAGCAAAAGGCAGGGAAACGGTCTAAGGGAAGAGGTGAGAGCCCTTCCCCAACCGTATGGCAAGAGCTAATTGGAAAAATAGGGAGTCCATTGAGGACGGAATGCCTGCCTCCTAAGGAAAGAGCAGGGGATGCTGAGAACACCTTGAAACACATTCATTTCAGTTACTTGACCATTTATAGAGCACAAGAGCTTCCGACGTCCCCAACGCTACCATAAAATACAGATAAAACGCAATCTCTGGACTCAAGAAAGTCACACAGTTGGGAGAAAGTATTAGCATAGGTAAAACGATGAGCTGACAACACAACGCAGCGCATCAGACGTCCAGGTGTTTAAAACGCTGCGTAGTGAAGCAGAAACTCTCAGAGCTCAGGAATTTAGAAGCAGCAGAGATGAGTGTAGCAAGGAGGAACTGGGCAGAGCGCTGCCTGGACCAGCAGGTCAGACTGACAAAGAAGTTTCTCGAGGATGGAAAGGCAAGTGATTTTGTAGATTATTTTCTCTCTCATAGTCAGATCACGAACATCAGCTATTTATATATTCGGTTTGTCATTCTGGGTACCTGTTGTGGTTCCTCTGGCTCTCAGAATATCTAAGTGAGCAGAATGCAGATCCCCAGTGTATCCAGCCAGTTTTTGCTATTTAAAAGAAAGTAAAATCCTTGTAAGTGGCACAAAGGAAAACAAGAACAGAGAACAAAGTGGTTTGAGATTAAGTAAAAAACTTCCGGTGGGAATGGCAAGGTAAGGGAACCTCAGGTGAACAGTTGGGGACCCAGGATCAGAGGACGAGCACTGGGTCGCAGGTCTCCCTGCTCTGCCCAGATCATGCAGAGGTGGCCAGCCCAGGGTTATCTAACCTCCCCTGCTGAAGGCACAAATGGAAAGAGCTCAACTGTGGGCCTTGAAGAGCACATTAATGCGGAAGTAAGGCCTGTGAGTGTTTTCAGAATCGACTTTGGGCCCAGTCACGGTGACACAGCGGTAGTGCGACTCTGCAATGCTGGAGGCCACGTGTTAGGTCAGGTTTGCACTGGGCATGGGCGCCGTGGTCCTGGCTGGCCAGGAAATGTTTGGAGACTGCAACGTGAGACCTTGTTGACTGTGTGTCTTTATCTCTCTCTCTCACACAAAATAAATAAATATATTATTTTTTAAAATCCACTTTGTCCTTTCTTCAGAGCAAGCAGCATGGGAGAAAGAATGGAGGAGGCCCTGTTCCAATTACTGTTCCGATTACAACCAGCAGCTTTTGCAATTGTCAGAACAAAAAGGAAAGGCCTGGAAGTCTTTTAAGCAATTGCCCTATATTACATGAAAGTGATACAAGTACCCTGTGATCCCTTGTTCCTAATGGAGGTGGGGACGCTTTGATGGTCCTGAAACACATTCTTTGGGACCTCAGAGCCAGGTGGTAAAAGCAGTGGGGAAGAGCGCCCCACTGTGTCCCAAGAGAATGCAGGAAAATGTTTCCACACAGGAGAGAGAGAGCTGCGGGGAAGCTCAGAGCCCCACCTTCCCAGGACACAGGTGGCCAACAGGTGACCACCATGGGCAATGTGCCACACGTGCACCATGCACAACACCACATGAGATGCAGGCTGGGCTTGCAGATGTCAGCACCTACCCACCCTGTGTCTTGAGGGGTGAAGCGGGAAACAAGGGGCCCACACCACAGACCCTTGCCACCAGCCCCACTCACCTCCAGCTCCTGGTGCTGCCTCCGAAGTTGCACTAGCCAGTCTGGCTCCAGGTCCCTGTCTCCATGGCGTCTTCCTAAAACCAGAGGGTCTGACAGCTTCAGTTTCTCTGCTAGCTGCACCAGGTTTCCAGACAGGTCAGGGTTAGAAAATATGAAAAGAGAAAGGAGAGAAATTAAGAGAAATGGAAAAGGGCAACAGGGGAACAAGACAATGAGGGAATGAAGAAAGAGTGCCTTAAGTCACTTATAAGTGTGATTGTAAAGAATAATTGAGAAATAGCAAATTCAGCAGATAGCTTCCCAAAATTGCAACATAAATAAACAATTAACCCATCTCAGTGTTAGGCATTAAGTAAAACATGAGAAGAACAGGTTACTCAGCTTCCTTTCTCGGCAAAGCTGTCTGCTCTGTGGCGGTGCCTCTCAAGCTTCCGTGTACCCAGGACTCACCTGGGACCTTGATAAAATGCTAATTCTGATTCCAGAGGTCTGCGTGGAGCCTGAGAGTCTGCATTTCTAACAGCTCCCAGGTGATGTGGTAGTAGTTTACATTCACAGGCTTTATTCCATCATTAAGTCCTGAACTTCCCTTGCCACCATCAAACTTTCAGCAGAAACTTCAGGGCATGGGGGCTCAGCGCCATGAATTTTATGCATTACAGAATCCAGCACTTGGGCTTCATTGAAAGCCAAACAAAAATGTCAGGGTAAGCTACCTTTTTACTATCTAGCTAATGGATTTTCCTTCAATTAATTGGAACAACTATTTGCCTGTTTGTCGTTTTCTTCCCTAGGAACTAAAGGTTGATATGTTTTTGTTTTCTCTTTTAAATGTATCCCACCTGTGATAAAATATTCCATGCATTTAAAAGCATTTTAATAAGGATCATTTCCTGTTTTACTCACTAAAATATATTTATTTTCTGAGTCAGGCTTTTGTAATTAGAATGGTTCACCGTAGCATGGAGCTTTCCTGTACCAGAAAAGCAGATGCAGAAATGACTTTCTCACAAAGCACATGCGTGGTTTCCAGTCTCCCATCCAGAGCCACCAGCTTTGTGCACAGGGTCTGGCCTCTGCTTATCACATCTGGGCATGCATATGTGGTCAAAGACAGTGGCAGGTTCCAATTATACAGCATGTTCAAAGAAGATGAAATGTGGAGTCTAAGCTGCTCTACAATGGCTTTCACTGAATACAGAAGATAAAGCACCTGCAGAGAACCCTTTGCCAGGCTCACCTTGATGAGTTCTGCTAATAGCACAGGGTGAGTGTTCTCTCCCTGGCTCAAGACAGCTGCACCAATGGCTTCACAGTATTGCAAGGCCTGGGTGACGAGGCCATAATCTGCCAGACGGGAAGCATAAAGGAGCTTATACACCTGTGAAGAGGAGACGGGCCAGTGATGAGTCCATCCAGACAGGGACCGAAAGAAAGAGAGAAATGTAGATAAGACTTCTTGGAAATCAGCTGACTGCCAGCTCCCACTAACTCTGATGTCCAAATACCAAGGCCCTTTTGGCACTGGGGTATCTTAGCTGTGTATGGGCACAGTTCCAAAGGCAGACTGCAGTCCCCGCATGACAGAGACAAGGCCGGGAGTCACAGCCCAGACCCTGGTCACTGTGGAGCATCAGAACATTCTTCCTTATCAGACAGCCCATAAATTCTGAGAGCCTGATGTACATGGGGCACAGGACCAGGCAGCAGGGGACAAATCAAAGAAGTAAAAGTATCCCCAGTGCAGAGAGTACAAGCGATGCAGGTAAGATTTCACAGAAGCATGAGTGACAAGACGAGGTGTCACACTGGTAAGGTCAGGATTGAGGGCTTTGGGGTCAGACACCCAAGTGCAAGTCCAAGCTCTATTCTAGGAGTGGAATACTGGGCTAGTGACCTCATCCTTCGTCTCTGTGCCTCAGTTTCCTCACTCCAGCGTGCACATCATACTACCACCTACCCCCTTGGTTGTTGTGAAGATTAACTGAGATCATCTGTCTCAAATACTTAGAAAAAAATGGTGTATGCAAGATATGTGAGTTGATAGCACTGGACCCTGCTGAGCCTCAGTTCCCTGTTATATAAAGCAGGGGTAATCATGCCTACCCCACAACATCAGAAATAACACACAAGGAGAACACCATGTTGGGCATGTACAGCGCATTCAGTGAAGCCAGCCGATCTCTTCGCCGTCAGCCCAAAGCAGGACCAACATGACAGAAGGGAGGAAGAAAGCAAGCCAGGGTAGACCGCGGAGCAGCTGCAAAGGAGCAGTGGCCGGGAAAGGCTCTGCTGGAACAGTGGGTCTTTGGCAAAACCCTCAGAGAAAACACGACACTGAACAGGTCATTTCTCTATGATCCAGGATTTCATCTTGTGCCATTGTGGGACATGTGCGTGTGGTTGCTGTGTGCGCTCAGCCCCAAGCACTGAAGGAGATACAAAGAATCACTGGAAAAGGTCTCCCCAAAGGTCATTCAAGCAGAAAGATCAGGCACACGGTGTGGACAGGAAAGCGAAGAGAAGGCAGCAGGAGTTGGTTGTCAAGTGAGGGTCTGGGCTGGGACCTGGGTCTCAGCTGCACACTGAGCGGGGCCTTGTGGAAATGAGCCTCGCCCCCTCCCACCACTTCCCTAGGTGGGCGCTCCTCCCACTTCACCGATGTGGCCACGGGGGGGCTCCATGTCAATCACACTGGGAAAAGAGGCTACAAGAGGCCTCAGGGAGAAAAGAGCGATGCTGGACCTCGAGAACTTGGACGGGAGGGTGACACCAAGTCAGTATTTGCCTCTGAATTAAAGGTCACAACGGGGAGGGGAGTCGCGTCAGGTGGCATGGTGGCTAAGGTACTGGGCTCCCACTTGGGTGACCACAGTTCAAGTCTCAGACCTGGCAGCTGGTCTTCTCTTTCTCTCTCACTGTCTTTTTCTGGTAAGCACACTTACACGATAGCAAATTTTAAAATAATAATAAAATATATTTTTTTAAAGAGTGACCATGAAACATTGGGTAGAGAAGTTGAGCAGAGGACAGAGCCTGCAGTATGGATGCCACCTGCACAGCTTAAGGGCTGAGAAGGAAGATGAAGACCAGAGACTGAGCAGGGAGGAGCTTCCAGAGGGAGAAGACAGAAGAATCGAAGCGAGATCCAGGAGCAGCATCAAAAAGTAGGGGGCCTTTGACCCCCCCCGTGCCCCACCCCCCCACCTCCCTTCCCTCCCAGGCAAATCAAAGAAGACAGAGCTGTTCAGAGAGAGAAAAGGGCCAGCAGGAAGAGCCAGGCCTGGAACTGCAGGCTGCAGGCGGGAGCCTCCAACACAGAGGCCTCTGCAAGGCTTTGCTTTCATGTTATAAAATGCAGGCCTTTAGGGCACAGAAAATGAAGTCCTAAACTTCATGAGTCTCCACCTAATGAGGAAAAGCTGAGGAGATGCAGCAGCCCTGGGTGCTGTGGCGGCAGCCAGGCTGGGTCCCAGCTGGCCAGGTCACCTGACACAGCAAGGCAGTGAGCTCACCTGGGTGTAGTTACCTGGAAAGAAGGGATGAAGGATTTGGGGCGGCCCAGCATCTGACAGTACTCAAAGATTTCCGTCCTCTGGATAGCCTCAGTTGTTGCGAATTTCGAAAACTCTTGACTAAAACCAGGGAATAGCAATAAAAGAGATTGGGGTGGGTGGGAGAGGCCTGAATTCGAGCAGAGAACCAAACACCAGCTATATCCCTCCTTTCCTGGTAGCCTTGAGCTGTGAGCTGAGGGGAGAGAGGGCACCTCCCCCAGAGGGAATGTTCTGCAGCTCCCCTCTGCTTCCTCAAGGCTGGAGAAGGACAGAACAGCATCAGAGGTGCCAGGAATTGAAGGCTGTGGGAGAGGTCCCCCCTTCTTGGTTGGAGGGTAACTTAAGGCCAGTTCCTCTGGAGAACAAGGTTTCTTCCTCTTAGACACAGTGAGAAGTAGCCTTTGCACCCCTAAAGCCCTGTAAAAGGCACCCCAGCCTGAGCACACTAGCATAACAAAAGGGCCCGGTCACTCTGGGCTGAGAACAGAAAGCCTGGCAGAGCGTGGGGAGAATGTGAGCCAGAGAGCAACGGTGATCCTTGCACTTCGCTCTTCACCCAGCTGGGGAGGAAAGGACTGAGTGTGATCTGAGGGGCCACAGAAGTTCCGTGAGCCCCCAAACTTCTTGCCCAGGTGGTCGAACTCACAGCCACCAGGGTTCTCCTTGGGCATTAGCACTTTATCTGCAGAGGTTTGCTCAGACAAAGGAAACCTAGGAGGGGCACACAGAGACCCAGCCACACCTGCCTTCTGGCCCAGAAGGGCTGCTTTGGTGTGCTCTCTCTGAGTCCAGGGCCCTGGACTCAGCAGTCAGGCAGAGTGAAAGGACTTCACACCTTCTGGAGTCTGAGTCCAGCAGGCCACATGCTAGCTATGCTACCTTAGGCACTTTTTTTTTGAGCAGTTTTTGCTATTAGGGCGCGTGCGCTCATCAGAGATACAGAGACAGAAAGCAAGAAATCACCCCCTGGGGGGATGGCCACAACGCAATCCCTTCTCCACCATTCTCCTCTCAGGATCTTGGGCACGCACGCACATGCGCCCGGCATGAGTTTAAGCCACCAGGTCCGGGACTCAAACCATGGTTGACTACATTGGAGTACAGCAACATAGTCATTACGCCAACTGCTGGTCCCCCTTAGGCACATTCTTAACCTCTCTGTGCCTTGGCTTCTCTAAGTGAAGATAAAAACTATACCTTCTTCACAGAGTAAATTTCTAACTAAAGAAAATAGTACAATAAAATGGGGCAACCTAAGAGCTTAGTAAATCTTTTTTTGTTGTCGTTTTAGAGATTTTTGCTATAGGGTGCATGCACTCACCAGAGAGCGAAAGTGAGAAATCACTCCCGGGAGGTGGTGGTGGTGGTGGTGGTGGTGAATGTCCATGCCCCAATCTTATCTCTTCCATTATCCTCTTGGGATTTGGGGCATGCACACACAGGTGCCCAGCATGAGTTTCAAGCCTTTGAGCCTGGGACTCGAACAGCAGTGGACCATGTGGGAGTCTAGTGCCTTAACCAATACACCACCTGCTGGCCCTGAACTTAGTAAATCTTAACTGTCAATGGAGAAAAAGGTAGAGCTGAACAGGGAGAACCCGAGGGAGCACACGGGTCTATCCGTGCATGAATCCTTTCATTCTCTGAGGGCTCTCCTGAAGTCCTTCTGCTAGAAAGCCTCATATTACTGCCAACAGAGGATAAGTGGCCAGTGGGACTCTGAGAAGCTAGTGCACCAGGGCATGGTATGGGTGCTGGGCCCTAAAGAGGGGCAAAACAGAAACTTCCTCCACTGTCCAGTTTCGCCCAGCATGGCTTCTCAGAGCAGATTCTGGACTTCTTGCCAGAGCCCCAAGCCTCCTGGCTTACAGTGTATTTGGGAGACAGTTTTCCATTGTGGAGCCAGGTTGCCACCCAATGGCCAGAGGGACACATGACAGTCCAGAAGCTCTAGCTTGCAGCTTCCCAGAGCAGACCCTAGGGTCTGAGGCCCCCTGGTGGTGTGATGCGGTGCCCACCGGGCATCTCCTTACCCAGCCAATCACAGAAAACACTCCCAGAGGAGGGGACCAACTGTAGCTGAAATTCTCAGGAGAACCGGAGCAGTGGAGCCATGCGGCCCCGCAGGGCCTAAAACAATCCTATGGAAAATGTCCTCCCCATTTCCTCTCCCCCGAGGTCACGTACCTGTGGCTGCTGCCCAGCAAGGCCAGGTGGTCTGTCTTCACTGTGTAGTGGCCCAGGGGCACGTGGGCCATGATGTAGCAGAAGTGAGCCGCCGCCACAAGCCCCTTTCCAGCTGCAGGAGGAACAGAACCAGACCCGGTGATGGGACTCACTGTGTGGGCTTCCTCACCAAGTGGGGCAGGAGAGAGGAACGTGTGGGGCCAGAGGGAGTAAACGAATAATGCGCTCCTCACAGCAGAAGGCTTGCACTTCCAAAACTCCCTCGCCTCCCACCAGCACCTTCAGCCTCAGATAAACATTTCAGTTCTCCGTAGCCAGAATAAGTATTTCACAGTCCCCTTAATGGGTGTTTATTTTCAAAATTTTTAGACATTTTAGCCCTTCCTGAGGGTGAGAAGTGAGTGCAGGTGCTTAATCCTGAGCAAAGAATCAGACACCTTCCGCCAACCCACACCCACACCCTAGTATAGCAACTCTTGAACACGGTTTCCTGTGACACAAGTGTTAACATCAAAGGATAGATTTCCCCATGCTCACCAACGTCACATTAATTGCCACCTTTTCCCCACTTTAAAATGTTCTCTCATACATTTTTCATCACCTCAGAATTGCAGTAATTCAAGAAGGTACATTTCCCAGCATTCCTGGCTACGTGCTTTCCTCACGGTGCTGAATGCCCGGCCGTCCGACTCCGCACAGCCTCATGTAGAGCTATGCAAAGTTTATCAGCAAGATTTCACTAAATTCTACAAAGAACACCCTGACTTCTAGATGTTCTGCCCCTCTGACCACATTTGAAAATCCAGAATATTCAAAAGTGTGTCTAAAGCCAAACGCGCAGAGATATAATGGAAATAAAGACTACAGAATTATCCACGGTAGTCAGGCAAGAACAGAATTTGTTATCTGATTGAGCAGGTCATTGAGAGTCTAATGGCAAAGGAAGTAAGCTGTCCCATGGGCTAACTTCAGTGACAGGGAATCCTACCCAGGGACAGAAAACCCTTCTGTGCAGAGATTCCTGTTGCAACAGAACAGCCCATCCCAGGGGCCTGGCTTGCCCTGGCTTGCAGCAGAAATTCCAGGAAACAGGGGCAAGAAGGACATTCCTCTCCCTGCAATTTCTTTCCTCAAAACAACAAGGATCATGAGTCCAGGAAAAGCCCAGGGCGTAGTCTCTGGCCTTACACAGAATCTAAGACTAAGGACAGGACATTTAATGCTGGCCTAGAAATACTCCAGAGAAGAGGGGGGACAATGCCAGCATCTACTTACCCAGTGTGTCCCCCATAGTGACAATTGCACGCTGATGCAGCTCCGGGTCCCCAGCCTGATTCGACAGAATCACAGCCAAGTGAGGCCTCCAGTCTCCCCACTGCTTGTCCCCACAACACTGAAAAAAAAAAGGGAGAGAATGAAAACATACAGAATCGTTTAGGATTGGCCAGAACGGAGCTACAGAATGCTGTTGTCTGCTTCCTGGTCCAGAGTTTGGGAAGGCCCGTCTTACCACCTGCCATGCTGCCATTCATTGAGTTAGAGCTCTCTTTTTTTAAAAAAAATGCAAAACTCCTACAAGGATAGACAGACAGATGGACAGATGGCAGACATATACATATAGATACCCACATACATGAATAAATACATACATAGAGATATTGGGAGATGGATAAATAAAGTGACAATATAAGTCACTAATTTCCAAATTTATTCCCAGTGCCCTCACCACAAATAACTAGAGAAAAAAAGAAAGAAAGAAAAAATGAAAGAGGCCTGATGTTGCAGTAGGAAAGGAGGATCGAACACTGACCTGCTCGATGTCTTACCAAATGGCTAATGGGTTCTGGTTTTACAGAACTATTTCACACATATCACCTTATTTCATCTTCACAACTGCCCTATGAAGTCAAATTCTTAGGAATGAGAAAAATCAAGCCAAGGGGCCCAGCCAGGACTCAAACCCCATCCTTTTCCCTCCCATTCTCCTAGTGGCAATGCAGAGGCAGGAGGCTCCACCAGGAGGCAGCAGAGAGTAACAGAGCCGTGCAAAAGGACTGAATGAAGGCCAGTATAAGTAGCGGGTTCCCTACCATCTGACCCTAGGCCCATCCTTCCAAGTGAAGGAAAATTTGGGGCAGAAAATATCAAAAAACAACATAATATCATGGAAATCACACAGGTCCTGGATTTAACCTGAGGCCTGCTTCTTGAGCAAGTTTCTTCCATGCAACCCAGAGCAAGTTTCTTTCTCTGAAACATTGTTTCCTCATTTCTAAAATGGAGATCATCATCTCTACCTAACAGTTATTGTTGATAATAAAGTAATTATGTAAAGCACATAGCATAGTGCTTCACACTTGGTTTTCACTTTATAAATTACACATAGGTGTAAATGCACGCACGCGTGTACCCATGAAAACTCGGCTGAGGAAAGAGGTGATTTGCAGACCAGTCTAATTTTCAATTTGTTACACAGATGGGTAGAGCAGAGATTAACAGTAATAACTAAGATTTGGAGGTCAAAACTATTCACCATTAGTTGGTGTTTGTAATTATCCTAGGGAATAAAATATGCCTTATCCTTCTCCATTTTATATTTCCTTCTGGCAATGCAGTGCGAATGAGGAAGATGATAGCAATAAATCGCAGTAAGAAGAGTTCTCGTTCATTGTTCTCAGGCCATCAACCACACTAAATGCTTCTCCTTCTACCAGTCATATGTGCTAGGTTCTATTATTGCCCCCGTTTAACATGTAAGCCAGGCCCCTTCTTGCTGGAACTAAAGGAACCACTGAAAGGAAAGAAAAGCTCTGAAAGAAAAAAAAGAAAAAAACTTGGAAGTCATTCTTCTGTCTCCTCCCTGATGACTTGGAAAATATCACTATGAAGTGGACCTATGGGAAGTGAGAAAGATAGCAAATATTTATCTCACTTCAATGGACCATGGATGATGGTCTATACTTCAGATGGGTTCTACCATTTAATTTTCACAACCCCATTGGTTAGATGCCAAAACCTCAGCAAAGGTAAAAAGCAGGGGCTCTGTGAGATTAAGTAGCCACACCAAGCTCACAAGGAGCAGAGTCCAGGTTAAGTGTGTGATGAAACCCAAGTCTGTGTTGGCCACTTGCCTTGCCTACTCCACATCACTCATCACATGAAACCGAAACTGATGCAATTTCATGGCAAAGCGCAGGCCCTCAGCTGAATTGTGAGGTACACTTGTGTTCCAAAATAGCCAGTAGGTTTGATAATGGGGTCAAAAGTCATCAGTAGTCTTGTCTTTTCATGGAATCATCCACAAGCAATAAGAAGGACAAAAGGCAAAAATGGGAAGCCCATTTTCATTAAACTGGTTGTTAGCAAAAATACAAGCCTCAAAATACAAATAACGGTTGTCAAAAGTAACCAAGATTAGGGCCAGGAGATGATGTAATGGTTATGTCACCGGACTCCCATGTGGTCAACCACGGTTTGAATCCTGGACCTGGAGGCTTGAAACTCACACCAGAGGTGTGTGTGTGTGTGTGTGTGTGTGTGTGTGCCCAAAATCCCAAAAGGACAATGGAGGACAAGGGATTGAAGCATGGCCATACCTCCAAGGGCATGATTTCTCACTTTCTCTCTGTCTCTCCATCAAGTGCAGGCACCCTATAGCAAAAATCTCTCCAAAAGTAACCGAGGGTAAATAGAAGTGCATTCAGTAGAAAGCAGAGTGAGAATATCAGAGGAGAGGAGCCCACAGCTACCTCCACTGGCTGGGGAGAAGCAAAGGCCCTCCAGACTTACAGAGAAAACCCCAGGGCACACAAAAAATACCAGACAGTCTGGAATATGGCCCTGGTCCTACCCAGCACAAACCTCCCGGGAAAGATTCAACTCCTTTAAAGGCATCTAATATTAAGGAACAGGCACAGAAACTATACAAATAAACTGAAATAGGAGGAGGAGAAAAGCACAAGACATGAGATTGAAGAGAACATTACAGCAAAAATACTACAAGATAAATGAAAAATTGTGACCAAACATGCCATCATGAACTTAGGTAAATAATGAAACAGTTGCTTCTATGAAGCAAGAGCATAAAGTTTAGTTACAAGAGCTCAGGAAAGAGATAGTGATAAATGTGACCTGCAGAGCTCAGGAAAGACATGGAAGGAAAACAAAGAAATCAAGGCAAAAATGAAAAGAGCACAAAAGCAAGAAACATTGGTAAAGATGGTAAGGGGCCCAGCCATAGTGGCACAGGTGGTAGGGTACCACTGCCTGGTGGCTCAGGCCGCAGTGGGGAGGTCTGAGCTTGGTTCTTAGTCCAACCCAGTGGTATGTACCTGTAATTCTAGCCAATTGGGAGTCAAGGACAAGGGAGTCACAACATGATGAAGCCCTGTCAAAAATACCTTCTCAGGACAAACAGGTGGCATAATGGTTATGTCACTGGACTCACATGTGGTCAACCGTGGTTCAAGTTGTGGACCTGGTGGCTTGAAACTCATGCCGAGCATGTGTGCATACGTGCCCAAAATTCTGAGAGGAGAGTGGGGGAGGAGGGATTGCAGCATGGCCATCTCCTCTGGGGTGGTGAGGGTGATTTCTCACTTTCTGTCTCTCCAGAAGCACACATGCCCTTTAGCAAAAAAAATCTCTCTTAAAAAAAACCTTTCTCTTGCTCTCTCTCAAAAAAGAAACATAGAAAGGGACACAGAGAATGGAAAGGGAAAATTTTAAAGAGAAAGTTTATTTTATATATATATATATAATTCAGATATATATACACATATACATATATGTGTTTGCATATATTTATATATATTTTTATATATATGAAATGTATATGCATTAATTTCCTATAAAGAAAACTAAAATAATGGGACAAAATATTAAAAGTCACAATTCGAGAAAATTTTCCTGAACTCTCAGACATGAATGCTCGTATGAAAAGGGCACACTGTACATTCCCAAAGGAAAAACTGACCCAGGCCGTCAACACCAAGCTACAGCCAAATAAAGTTACTGGACTTCAGGCAGAAATATTTTGGGGACACAAAGATCTAGCCTCTTACGATGGAATATGATCAAGCTGACCTCAGACTTCTCTTCAGCTATATTCCGCTTAGGAAGATCTGAACTTGATTATCTCTAGCTTTGAAGGACTGATGTGCTTTTTCCTCAGGGTAAAGGACAGGATGCTGGGACGTCTGGAACAACAGCCTTTGCGATTCACAGCCAGGCAGGCTGCTGAGGTACCGAAAAGAGGGCATGGTCTCAGAGTCACACAGACCTGGGAGGATTCGGTCCCACTGTTCACTCACTCCCTCATCTGGGGCTTTTAAGACCTTTGCACCTCAGTCTCCATGTCTGCGAACTACAGATAGTAACTCCTGCCTCCACGCATTAAAACAGTATAGAACAGTGTGCTTAGCACAGGGCCAGGCTCATGGAGGTGGCCAACGATTACTATTTATGTTTCATCTTGAAAGCCCTCACTGCATCCCCCTTCCCCAAAGCCCTTAGGATGCTCGGGTGCTGAAGGAATATCCCGTCTCAAAGGGTACCGTGGCTGCTTGTGGAATCCTCCCCGACATGAACTGGAAGAGGGTCTGCAGCGGATCATTGGGTGACAGCGTGCTGGTGAAGCTGAGGAGAGAAGGGGCATCAGTGAGGACCCAGCCCAGGGGGCCCTATACCCACTGCCAGGGCCCCTATGCCCACAAGGCCTTACACGGTTCCACTGTATCTCAGCAGCTTCTTTCGGAGTGTGAGCAACGTTCTGCCGTGCCTCTGTTTACGTCCTCCCTCTAGGCAGATCTGCCAGACCTCTGTCCTCCCATGCACCCCCACTGCTCTCTCTGTGGCGGGTATTTCTGCAGTGTGGCCCTCATGCCCTGATGCTCGAGTACCATCTCTGTAGGCCAGATGACCCACCAACAACTCAGAGGGCCCTGGAGAGCCACAGCTGTTTTCCTGGAAGCTCTTCTCCTTGGGCCCCTCCTTCCCAGGAACCCTGAGCTCCTGCATCCCCGCCCCTGCAGCCTGCATCTCCTCCAGGCTGGGCCCACAGCCCTCAGTGCCGTTTTTCTGCCTCATCACAACCTAGACCTGTAGTGCTTTTACTCACAAGCACTAAAGAGCCATTTTCAGTAACCAAAGAGGCGTGGAACGGGGACCAGAAATGATCCTGCTGATAACAAACCATGGGATATGCTTAACAAGAATGTAATAAGCTCTACAGCTGATTTGAGATTTAAGCGTACTCAGTAAGAGAGATTTTTCACAATTCACTGGGCCCCATCAAAAAGCAATGGCCCAAAGCAAAAATCTGCAGCAGAGATCTATACTGAGAGGTGGGTTTGTGGGATGTTCGTTTTCAAAGCCCGAAGGAAAATCATCTCTTCAAACACCATATCGTATTTAATAGTACCATTGCCACAGGGGCTTGGAGCCCTCTCATGAGACACCTCGGCGTGCCTCCTCATCCAGCCTCAGAGCATAACGAAGAGCACAGTGGTGCTACTAGTACCCAGAAAGACTGAGGGTTCGAGTAATGAAGAAACTCAATGGAGGGCATCATGAAGAAGGGGCTCCCAGGTGGTGTGATGGCCATTAGGCCCACAGGCTAGACTTAAAGTGGAGGTATCTGTCTTCCTGTCTAACTTTCGCCCAACCGGACTGATGGCCAATTCAATATAAGCTAAGCTGCAAGGACAGCCTCAGCAGGCAGC